TAAGTCTCGCGTATGCAACAACACCACACTTCCTTGACCAAACATTTTTGTCAGAGAAAAAATGTTGCCAGACTTTTTCCTGACTTTTTTCTCGGATTTTTAAACTATTAAGATTAGTAGTGGAAAAAGTTACAGTTTCAACCGTAAATTAAGATATTTTATAATTTAAATTGGTTGGAAAAATTTTAACAATCAATGGACGTGTCAGATTATTTTAAATAATCCATAGTTTTTTTAAGACAGGATTCAGAATCTAGCGTCTACGATGAAAAATTACATCATGGTTATTTCTGCGTATAATCAATGAATTTATAGTACATAAGATTTTTTATTCTGCCTTTATATCATTCGGAGATCTTATATTTTATATCACAAATATCGATAGCAACTAATTCGTTTGAAATCGTACAACGGTTAATGAAAGGTATCGGTTTTTCTACAGTACTGCAATAAAAAGATGGTTCAATATTGAATTTGTTATCAATAGCGTAATTTACAATTATCTTCGAGGCATTCTTTAGATTTCCATTCCCACTTGCTCACTTTGACAAAAATTTTAAATGATCAAAAAACAAATCATTTATTTTATCAGGTTACGTGAACAAGAAAGTGAAAGATAAAACGTAAATGATTCCGAGTCGTAAATTTATTAGACTCGTTACAAATTTGACTAACACTTTAAGAAGTCCAAGGAGACCTGAAGGAGCTAAGAAGAATTAAGAAAATATATTAAAATGTCTTCTTTTTTTTTGTAAATATATCTCAATCACTCAGTATTCAGCTTAAGCTTTTTGATAATAATTTTTGCTACTTATACAATTATTCTTACTTTGCCACTTGCAGATTTATAGATAAAAGTACTCGCCATCTAGCGGTAGAAGCTGGCTTTAAAATTGATTAAATGATTGAAGGTGAAGCCAGAGCTTCTTTTTTTACCGACCGTTACGTGAAAATTTCCGTTTGCATAACATTTTTTCTAGACCGATTTTCAAAAAGAGGCTTTAATCCTGAACACGGCAATTGAAAATTTCAATCAATGCTTCCTGGAAAATTTTGTATAATTATTTACAGCAAGAATCCGGAGAGCTTCACTGAGCCGTCAAAAATAGTATAGAAATAGTTATGATATTGTACAATTGCATTCATCATTCGATGAGAAGTGAGATTGCACCAAATAAATCAGTATTGAACATTAGTTTAGTATTGAGTTTTTTTTTGGTTACTTTTCCTTTTTAAAAATACTGTGATTTCACTTTAATGCATTTTTTGCAATCAAGCTTCATATCAGTTATTTCAATGTCCGATTTAACGTCGAATCTACATCAAATTTAAGATTTATTTTAGACGGTGTATATTATTATGATTATTACTATTTTCCGCACTCGCTCTTTATCAATCTCCCGAGCGTCGAATCAGTGCTTTTTCGATAAAGAAGCTCGATGCAAACTCGAGCGCCATAATACGAAGAAAGAGAGAGAGAAAAAGGATGGAAGGATGCTCAAATCCGTAGGATTATGAATTGGTACTTATATCGATACGAAAGAGGAAAGAGCCCGCGCGAGATAGAGATGAAAAATAGAAAGTTGAAAAAAAAAAATAAAATAAAATAAAATAAAGGCAAGAAAGAGCAAGAGAGAACGAGCCGCCGCGTCGCTACGGTTCGGGGATACATATAGCAGTCTGCTGATGGAAAACGGGCGCGCGCTCGGTGCTCTCCCGGGTGATATTGCGCTTTGATTTTTTAAGGTTCAGTTATTTTCATCGTTTTCCCGCCGATTTCAGGAGCGAGCCATTTTTATATTATATACATATATCTACACAAAAAAAAAAAAAAGAAAGGAAAAAAGTAAGGGCGGCAGCACAGTATGGGAGATTCATTTTTCTATCTTTTACGATATGTTTTTGCGCGAGCCACCGTTTGTCGCGCCACGAGTCGTGTGCGCGGCAGTGTATACTATATATACTTTACGGGAGATATAAAGAAAAGCGTGTGTGTATACGAATTTATTTCCAATTCATTTTGCCGCCACGCGACACGTATTGTGTATATATATACCATATCGTATATGAGAGAGAGAGAGAGAGAGAGAAAAACAGCGAAGTAGGATAGAAGCGCATCATGCCGAGAATTTTGTACCTATTGTATTACAAAAACATTTACGACGATTCGTTTTACAGCGGAAGGAAGGAAGCGAGGGGCGCGCTCGATCCATTTGATCTTCAAAAGCGCACGATATATAACGTGGAGAGTAAAAAAAAAGCAGACGTGTATAAATGCATCTTGCTGCGCTGCAAGAAGAAAGGGGGGGGGGGGGGGGNGGGGGGGGGGGGGGGAGAGAATTTTTTTATTACTTCTCGTTCGCGATTACTCGGAAAAAAGCTCACGCGATGAAGTCCTTTATCTCTTGTGTGCATACACACATACAAACAGACAGACAGACGTTATATGCACTCGCGTACGAGCTCCGAAGATTACACTTCGCAGGAAAGTGAAAAGTGCAGCATTCGTGTCGACAGCAACAGCAGCAGCAGAGCGCTAGAAATGCTTTAGTATCAACACACAGACACACAGACACAGAGCTTGCGGAGGAAAACAGCAGTTGCGCGCTCTGTATAATATGCGGACGGAGTTCTCTCTCTCTAGCCGTAAGATCTCCTGCCGCCACCGACGCGTGTTTACTCCCAACCGGTGGTAAACGCTCTTATGCATTATGCATATCTCTCGTGGATCAAAAAAAAAAGGAAAAAAAAGGAAAAGGAAAAAAGAGAGGAAGAAAGAAATAAAGAGAGTAAGTATTATTTGTTCAACTGCGCGGAATTTACACGTATACGTATTATATATCTCGGGTTCGCAAGCTCGTGTCACAGCTTAATGATCAAAAACAATTAAACAAAAGCGAAATTGAAAAAATATCTCCGCGCGAACCGGATCCTCTTTCTCCTGCACAAACACACACGCGCGCAGCGCACTATGTGTAGTATTGATTTAATTACTTTTTGCGCGCGTATATCCTATATCCTCTCACGTTCGAGTGTGTGTGTGTGTGTGACGCACAGCGCGAGCCGCACGGCACGCTCCGAGATCTATATATAATTTGTCACTCGATAGTTTTATGAAAATTTATCGATGAACTGTCAAAGCTGCTGCTGCTGCGAGGAACGCAGCAGCGAGGATACAATGCTCCTATCCTGTTTTTTTTTTCTATTCTTTTTTTCGCTACATACCGTTCTTTGCGCCGTGCAAGTTTAATAAGACATTGCCAATTCATTTTTGCCCCGTGTACTTGCAATTTTATTTTACTTTTTTTTTTTTTTTCGGACAAATTTTCAAAGTGTGCATTCTCGTTCAAGTTTAATTAAACTTCTCTCATTTTTCCTCTTCCAGACTATCTACTCCCGAGCGCCGCGTCGCTCGCTCGCGCGAGTACACGGCCTCTCGTAGGGATATACGTATATATATATAATATTATATGTATTAACAATTTCAAAGGGACGAAGAGAGAGAACACGGCGCGGGGCAACGGAGAGAGGGAGGCTAGGATGTATTTTTTTTCATTAAACCGTCCTTTTAATTATGAAAACTCGAGTGCTCGCGCGCGCGTGGGTCTGGTCGGTCAGAGAGAGAGAGAACTTCTCCTCGGCTCGCGCGCGAGAGAGAGAGAAATATTATTTCGCCCACTCAAAAGCTGCTGCGCGCGCGATATGATCAAAGGGTTGACTTTTGCGGCTCTCTCTTTCTCTGCAAGTCTGCGCTTACACAGCACAAGTATAAAAACATTCCGCGCTCGTTTTTCAGCTATATCTCCGCGCTCTTCGCCTCTCTTTATCTCGTCTCATTAATTATATAGCCGTACTTACTACTACTACTACAACCACTGCTACTTCTGTGTATAATCCGCGATCCAATCGACAACTATACGCACACGTACACACGCGTATATAATCGAGAACTTCGGGTCGAGCTTTATCCCGAGCGTTGATGCACAAAGGTAAACGCGGGTATATAATGAGCGATATGTGTTTGTGTGTGTTTGTGTGTGTGTGCGGGGGTGGCGTTGATTAATCGAGAAAGTGTCGATGTGCGGCGGCGGCGAGGGAGATCGCGTCGAGAGAGTGAGAATTTCTTGATGAATTTACACAAGGTTTCGATGCAGCTACACATACTGCTACTGCTGCATCGCGTGGATTACGTAATGACCCGATAATTAGGTCAGTATAAGGAGCAGGTGTGATCATATGTCTCGTGTGTACACACACACATACGCACCGACACACGTATACACGTACGGTACGGAGTTTTGAGGAATTTACCGGGGGTTGATGGGAGGGGGTAGCAGCAGCAGCAGCAGCAGTGATGAGAGCAAATCCAGGAATTGCCCGAGCTTCGTAATTCCGTATACGAACACACAAACACTCGCACACATATACATCGAGGCGGTGGCGGTGGCGGACGCCACAAGTGCCGAGGAATATAATTAACATCAAAGTGTATAAGCTCCCTGAGACTAATGGAGTTGCAGTGTATAGAATGGCTCGCTCGCTCGAGTCTCTCTCTCTCGTACGTATATACGTATATATACAGCGCAAAATCGCAGTCACTCCGTAGTCAGTGGAGCTCTAGTTCAAGTCTATACGTGCGCTGCAGCTGCCCCCCGGCCGACGATGGTTATTGATTGCGTGAGGGGCGCGCATATTAGAAATCCGACAGCGGCGGATCCACCGCCACCCACGAATTCCCCGAATTCAATCGGCATTGCGATCAACTGTATACTACTGCTGCTACTTCTCTATAAACCGAGCGGGATTATGTGTATTCGTATGTGTATGCGTAGAGTTGCATCTCGATGCGTCGTACTTACTATTACTATGCGTCGAATCTTTGGTAAAAAAAAAAAGGAAAAAAACAATCACGAAGATACGATGTAGATACGGCCCTCGCGCGATTATTTTTACGCGATAAAATTTAAACGAGATAAAATTGTACCGTGTATTATACTTACCTCAGATAAGCCACGGAGGCAGCCTCGGCAATGTTGTTAATGAACCTGCAACATGAATAAAATTCGGACGATTAATTTCTCCATTGTGTCTGTGGGTGGGTGTGTATGTGTAGGCCAGACTATAGCCAGCGTTATGGAGCACGAGTATCGGTATATACGCTTGCTGTATACAGTTGCTGCTGTTGCGCCCGTTAAAGAGGGGGGCGGGGAAGGTTGTACACCGACATACGTACGGAAACGATGTTAGCTTAATTAAACGCGGGGGCGGGGGGTGGGGGCAAGACTTGAAAATTTAAATCTCCTCGCGGCTTGAGCCACAAGTAGAGAGAGAGGGGCAGCAGCATGAAGTGTATTGCTTCGGACGCGCCATGCAGCTCTGTGTGTGTGTACGTACATTATATGTACGGAGAAATGTTCCTTTAGTCGTATTATATACACGTACGCGTCGAGAGAAAATTGCGTCTTTATTGGCCGCTTTATTCGCGCGGCAGTTACTACTACTGCTATCTATACTGCGCTATAGTCGAGTCAAGAAGAAGATAAAAGTAAAAAAAAAAGGAGAGAGAAAATGTTCGCGCTGGACCTTTTATGGAATGTCCGAGCGATAACTGCGCGCGCCGCCCCCCCGTATATAAGCAGCGCATGTATAGCAAACGAGAAGTGTATACGACTCGGCTCTTAATTTTCACTTTTAGTAAACACTTTATACGTGTGTTTTTTCTTTTTTGCTTTATTTCTCACTCGCTGTTACGACTGTATCGCAGTTTAGAGTGTGATCGCTCGTTTACAATGCACTCGGAAACGTCATTTTGGGTAATTTGTTGAGTCATGTTATGTGTTTCGTTCGTATGAGCCAAATCTTGGAGATCGTATGAGAATAAAGTAAATAATCTATGTAATTTAAAAAGATTCGATATAAACGTTTATATCAAATTGATACGATTATTACGTACTAAACTTAAACGCAGACATTATGTGTAGGAAGTATAGGAAGTGTCTGTTTGTATAAAATGCATCCAGGTCCAGAATAAAGATATTTCAACCTTCATATTTCACATATGTATTCTGGGAGAATTTAGGGTGTGTGGCTAAGAATGGCCCGTGACGCAGCGTTCGGAAACTTGAAGCAGCTCTTAAATGCTTAATTTTTTTATATTAAATTAACAAAAAGTAGCGCAGTAAAACTTTGAGGTAATTTTTTGATTTAACAATGTCTAAAATGTGTGCGTAATGCGCATGAACACTATTAGTACGAGGGAGTTTAGCGAGTTAGTAAGAAAGTACTTTTTTACACTTTGTTTGCAGTACTTGTTTTTAATAGGTCAATAACATTCGTCCAAGAGATCGTTGCCAAGTTCGAATTTTAAATTGGCTCAAATATTGTAAGAACCATATTATGTAAATAGATAAATCAGTGTCTCGATTGTAAACAATATGATTATGAACGGTTCGATTTCGAACACTGATCATGTTTATAGTAAAAATAAATTAGTTTTAATGTTCCTGATTAAACAAGCCTAGATGTTACATAGAGATAAATTTTACTCATTTAATTACCGTGGCACTAACTAGAAAGATCCATCGTTTATTTTAAGCATCAAAATGGACAAAAGTAAGCCAAAATCCGAGGAAATTATCTCTCAAGATAATTCAAGTGAACACGACATTGTTATTTCAGAAGAAAAACAAAACATTGGCGATATTTGTCAAGAGGCATATGCACTAGAATCGAGCATGAAAACCCATCGAGACACTAGTCACAATAATCCAAAAAATTACGCTTGTAACAAATGCAAGAAGAAATTTGAGTTCCGAAGTCATTTGAGTAGACACCAAGTATCATATCACAAAAGAGGCAAAGATTTTGCATGTAACGAATGCGAAAAAAAATTTGAGTTTCGAAGTTATTTGAGTAGACACCAAGTATCAGATCACAAAAGAGGCAAAGATTTTGCATGCGACAGGTGTGAAAAGAAATTTGTGAAGAAAACTAGTTTGCTTACGCACCAAAAATTAGTACACAAAAATCACAAAGATTTCACATGTAACAAGTGTGAGAAAAAATTTGAAAATAAATCAACTTTACTCAAACACAAAAAAATAATCCACGAAGTTATTAAAGATTACTTATGTGAAAAGTGCGCCAAAAGATTTGGAAACAGACATAGTTTGCTCTTGCACATAAAGAAATTCCATGTGGGTCCCAAAGATTTTGCTTATGCCAAAGGCAAGAAAAAATTTAGAAACGAATCTTTGCTTATTCCCGCGAAGACAGACCACAAAAGTCGCAAAAATTTCATTTGCAAAGACTACAAAGACAATTCATGTGAAAATTGCGGAAAAAAATTTAAAAGTAAATCAACTTTACTCTTGCACGTAATAACAGTTCATGAGGGTCGCAAAGATTACGCATGCGACAGTTGCGAGAAGAAATTCGGACGAAAATCGACTTTGATTGATCACCAAAAGACGGTACACGAGGGTTCCAAAGATTTCGCATGTGACAAGTGTGAAAAGAAATTTGGACTAAAACCCAATTTGCTCAAGCACCAAATAGCAGTCCACGAAGGTCGAAAAGATTACAGATGCGACAAGTGCGAGAAGAAATTTGGACACAAATGGATTTTGCTTATGCATCAAAAGACGGTACACGAAGGTCGGAAAGATTTCGCATGTGACAAGTGTGAGAAGAAATGTTCACAAAAATCGAATTTACTTATACACCAAAAGACAGTCCATGAAGGTCGAAAAGATTTCGCTTGCGACAAATGCGAAACAAAATTTATACAAAAAATGCATTTGCTCATCCACTTGAAGACAGTCCACGAGGGTCGCAAAGATTACACATGTGACAAGTGCGAGAAGAAATTTCGGAGTAAAAGTCACTTGAATAAACACCAAAAATTAGTGCACGAAGGTCGCAAAGATTTTGCATGTAACAATTGCGAGAAGAAATTTGGATTAAAATCTACTCTACTCTTACACCAAAGGACAGTACACGAAGGTCGGAAAGATTTTGCATGTGAGAAGTGTGAGAAGAAATTTACACAAAAAATGAGTATGCTCCATCACCAAAAAACAGTCCACGAAGGGCACCAAAATCATACATGCGATATTTGCGAGAAGAAATTTAGACTAAAACAACATTTGCTTAGACACCAAAAAACAGTCCACGAGGGTCGCAGAGATGACGCATGCGACAAGTGTGAGAAGAAATTTGCACATAAATCGAGTTTGCTTTACCACCAAAAGGCAGCCCATGAGAATCGTAATGGTTAGGCATGTGACAAATGCGAGAAAAAAGTTTGCAATTAATCATATTTGTTGAAGCGTCTAAGGACAAAACATGAAAGTCGCAAAGATTTTGCTTGTGAGAAATTCGAGAAGAATGACAATTGACAATTGTAAATATATAAATATTTATAAACATCATTAAGTACAAAATTTCAATAAAAATTATTCTATAATGATTGAGTTTACAGTTCAGTATAAAGTTTTTTTTATTTTCATGGAAAATACACTGCGACGCGCGTGCGAGAAAGTTCTCGTAGTGTAAGTGCTACGATTGATTGATTAGATAGTAGAGTTTGATGTATTTGTTTTTAAAAGGTCAATAACATTCGTCGAAGAAAGCGTTGCCAAGTTCGAATTTTAAATTGGCTCAAATATTGTAAGGACCATATGTAAATAGATAAATCAGTAACTCGATTGTAAACAATATAATCATGAACGGTTTGATTTCAAACACTGATCATGTTTATAGTAAAAATAAATTAGTTTTAATGTTCCTGATTAACAAGCCTAAATGTTACATAGAGATAAATTTTACTCATTTAATTACCGTGGCACTAACTAGAAAGATCCATCGTTTATTTTATATGAATAAAAGTATAGTGAAATCCGAGGTAATTGTCTCTCAAGATAATTCAAGTGAACAAGACATTCTTATTTCAGAAGAACAAAACATTGGCGATAATTTTCGAGAGGCATTTGCACTAGAATCGAGCATGAAAACCCATCGAGACACTAGTCACAATAATCAAAAAAATTACGCTTGTAACAAATGCGAGAAGAAATTTGAGTTTCGAAGTCACTTGAGTAGACACCAAGTATCAGATCACAAAAGCTGCAAAGATTTTGCATGTGATCAATGCGAGAAAAAATTTGTTAAAAAATCGAGTTTGATTACGCATAAAAAATTAGCACACAAAGATCACAAAGATTTCACATGTAACAAGTGCGAGAAAAAATTTGAAAATAAATCAACTTTACTCAAACACAAAAAAATATTCCACGAAGTCATTAAAGATTACTTATGTGAAAAGTGCGCCAAAAGATTTGGAAATAGACATAGTTTGCTCTTGCACATAAAGAAATTCCATGTGGGTCCCAAAGATTTTGCTTATGACAAGGGCAAGAAAAAATTTAGAAACGAATCTTTGCTTATTCGCTCGAAGACACACTACGAAGGTCGCAAAAATTTCATCTGCAAAGACTACAAAGACAACTCATGTGAAAATTGCGGAAAAAAATTTAAAAATAGATCAACGTTACTCTTGCACGTAATAAGAGTTCATGAGGGTCGCAAAGATTACGCATGCGACAGTTGCGAGAAGAAATTCGGACAAAAATCACATTTGCTCTGTCATCAAAAGATAGTCCACGAAGGTCGCAAAGACTATACATGTGACAAATGCGATAAAAAATTTGGACGAAAATCGAACTTGCTTGATCACCAAAAGACGGTACACGAGGGTTCCAAAGATTTCGCATGTGACAAGTGTGAAAAGAAATTCAAACATAAATTGAGTTTAGTTAGGCACCAAAGAATAATCCACGAAAGTCGAAAAGATTTCGTATGTGATAAGTGTGCACAGAAATTTGGACGCAAATGGATTTTGCTCATGCATCAAAAGACGGTACACGAAGGTCGGAAAGATTTCGCATGCGACATGTGTGAGAAGAAATGTTCACAAAAATCGAATTTACTTTTACACCAAAAGACAGTCCATGAAGGTCGGAAAGATCACGAATGCGACAAGTGC